CTCCACTACCCCACCTCGTCTCCACCCTTCTCACCGGCGGCCTTCTCCACTCGTCCTTCCTCGGTCCACCATCCGCCTCACATGTCTGTCTCGGTCCTGTCCTCTATCGCCTCTCGTCTCCACTTGGATGCCGGCCCACCATTGACGGATGTGCTACGGGAGAAATCCCCGCTGACCTTGTCAGCTGACCACGGCGGCGCTACTCCAGCGTCACTTACCCTCTTGGGGGCGTGGCTCATGTGCCACTCCTGTCTCTCGGTCCGGATTCGCAGCTCTCGGCTCTGCCCTCTGGGAATTTAACCGGTTATGCTCCAGGCGAAAGCTCTGTGACGGCGTCATCCTCGGATGTCGTCCACCTTCTTGAAGGCGTCACTAGGGAGCTCCTTGCCGCCATTATCCTCCGTTGCCCTTGGGGGTTGGTCATCCTCTTCTCTGCTAGCTCAAGACCCTCTCATGTCTATCGTCTGTTTTGGTGAGCTTCGTGCTCTTCGTGCTATCTCGGTTCATCTTTGCTCAACTACGACGCAACGATGCCTCCCCACCTTGCTAATCGTGTCAGCTTGCTGTGGTGGAGCTTCCAGTTAAGGTTTGTGATGGGTCACTCGTTGATTGGTGCTGCTCCTCTGTTGTGCCAAGGGGTTGGTATGCACGCCGGTGTGGTGCGTTAGGATAGTTGTTTAGTGTTGGTATTGTGATTCCTCGACGACACACCACTTCCACTCGACTTTTATGGTGGTGGTCTCTTGGCTTGCTGGCTAGGTAGTGCCTTCTTCGGGGTGTCTCCATATGTTCTCACCCTATGTAATCCTTCCCTCCTGTGCGGTTTTTTTGGCCCGGTTTCCCTTATAAACGGGGTCAACCTGTTAAGGTTTTGATCCGGTCTTCCTTATAAACTGGATCAAACACTTGGCATTTTGGCCACTTTGAGCAATATATTCAGGTGGGGACTCTCTCCCCCAGGTGACTGTTCAAAAAAAAAACACTCCCGATTTTATTCATGTCAAATGATGTAGCCATTGAAACTATGGTAGTCATATATGTCCCGCGGAAGAAGCGACTAACATCCGTTCATTACTACAGGAGGTAGATGATTGTGTTTACCCCACCAGTGAGCTGCTAGAGTTTCTGCAATTTTCAGACTCGTCATATTATAAAGGCAAATTATTCTTCTTGGAAAGCTGGTACAACTGGGGTGTAGGAGCCTCTGCTCTTCTTAGAGCCACAACCGAATTCCTGAAATCCAAAAGATGTGATCCTAGCATAAGATAGCATTTTGGAAAAATTATCCATGTAGACTGCTCTATGTGGAAAAATAGAAGATCTGTGCAAAGGGCAATTGCGTAGGAGTTAAACCTTGACCATTTAATGCCCATGTTTGATAAGCAAGACGAGGATGATGATTTTAGTGGGATAGACTTCAGCTTCAGGGTAGAGATACCAAGCATCGGGAGTGAGATCAATGCATATCTAAGAAATGAAAGATTTCTGATGATTTTTCATTATGGGGGAGAAGAAGTAATTGATCTGGCAGAGTTTGGCATTCCTGAATTTGGAGCCTATGCTTTAGGAAAATTTTTATGGAGCAGTTATGTAAGATTTCAGCTCTCACGGAGAGGAAACGAGTTGAAGTTCAATTCTGGTTATGTTCTAGTAATTCGTTTATATCTTAAGGGTCCTTCAACTATGAGCCCACTATTGTGTCATTCATTGCGCGAAGAAGTTGTTGAACTGATTGGTTACACCGGCATGGATGGCATCAACCCAACAACAGTTTTGAATTGCTTCTTGTACTCACTCTTCCTAACAGAGAAACAACATGGAAAACCTATTAGTGTTGACTATGCTTGGGATACTCATGCTTGTAACTACTGGATATGTGATGGCATCCTTCAAGGGGACAAAGCCTATGAGGTTGGCAGCGCATTGCATGCAGTGATGCAAATGTTGTGCTACCCATCCGACAGAATAAAAGGATTGGTAGACTATTTTGGTCGGCATAGAGAACAATATGAACGTTGGATTTCAATCTCATCCAACCAATCAAGAGATCAAGACATCTCAATTGTTCCTGTCAATGCATCATCCTATTTCCTAACAGTTGCGGCCGACAATTAGGTACAACTACCAAATGATATGTTTCAACTAGCCATGAACCTCCACGTGCTAAAACTCCACAAGTGCAGCTTTGATTTTGCATCCCCTCCTTTCCGATTCTGCCACAACCTAAGATTCCTTTGGCTCGACCATTGCACAAACTCAAGGGGGGGGGGGGATCAAGGTGGATGGCAATGTTTTCCAAACCTGTTGGTGCTTGACATGCGCTTCATAGATTTTGTCTTGCCGCTTGCCGATAGAGATGACCGAGCTGATGACCAATCTTAGGGAGGTAAATACAAAGGGCATCTCATGGAGGAATTTAAGTCATGCATGGAAAAGGCTACACAACCTTCACAAGCTCCGAGTGGCCGAATCCTTAGATGTTATCACGGTGGAGACATGCTCTTTCGTTGATATGATAAATCTTGAGCTCTTGGACTTATCGGGTAACATTCATATGAAATCATTTCCTGCAGTGTCATCATCAGGAAACTTGAAGATGCTTGTTCTTGATGGTTGTTCCAGATTGAAGCATGTTCACTCGAGGGATCCACTCCACAACTCGAGAGTTTTAGCTTTGATGGTTATGGCCCATCAGTGAAATGGACACATGATGTACAACTGCCAAAGACAGAACTGCGTCCCAAGTCCCACAATGCTTCACTTCCAAAAGCAGAGGTGAGACGGATCTCCCTAAAGGGTTGCAATCATTTGCACAACATATTCTTGCATGCATTACCCAGTATTAAGGAGTTGGACCTCTCTGGCACATCTGCTAAAACACTTGACATCTGTACAATGGGTGTCTCACGACTCAAGAAGCTACTCTTGCTGGGTTGTGAGCAACTTCGTAGCCTACTCTGGAATCAAAGCAACACTTCATTAGAAGTTCTACATGTAGACACTTGAGGGAAGAGCAAACCATTGTTTTACTTTGGAGACCATACGTCCCATGCCTTTGGGTTACTTATGGCTTTTACACATGGAAGGTTCTTTTGGTCTGCAATGAGGGGATTCCATTGGCAGAGTTCTATGTACAGCTACAAGGTGCGCCTCCATATCTCTTCTACAATCCAAAGCCAAGTCAACATCACCAAATGTGTTGACACGCTTGGTCGTAGCCTAGAGGGTTTGGTTCCAACAAGGCCCTTCTTACCTTACAATGATATTGTACTTAAGAAGGATATTGTCACGTGCCGGTCCTTGGTGTGGGACCACCGACAACTTTATCCTTTAGGTGTGCATATCGAGATTGGTGAAGGAAGCCACCATTTAGAGAGCATGAATCCAATGAAGATTGCAAATTTTCCATAGACTACAAAGTTCAATCATTGCATGTGCATGACAATATCTTGATCACAATGGTCCTTCCGGGGGAATCGAGATCTTGGATGCGTCTAGAATGGTGTCATGTTGAGGGGTGCCCCAAGCTACACACTTTGTTCCCTGCTCATGAACATGAGTTCTTTGAATCAATAAGGATATTTTTTGCATCTGATCTCCCAATGGCCTATTGCATCTGGGTTAGAAGCATTTGTCATCACTCTTCCAGCTTTGAAGGCTTACAATACATATACTTGCACAATTGTCCACAGTTGGTGTTTATCCTCCCTATTTCTTCCTTCACCTTGCCACACTTGGAGTCCATTCAAATTGCACACTGTAGTAATCTCCAACATATATTCCCACTGAACGATGAGTGCCCTCAAGAGATAGCATCTAAAGTAACATTCAAGAAGCTGAAGCACATCAAGCTGTACCATCTCCACAAGCTAGAGCAGATATGCGATACTAGACTGATCACTGCATCGGCCTTAGAGACGATCAGCCTCAGGGATTGTTGGGGCCTGAGACGGCTACCAGCCGTGTCACTTGAAGGTCCCAAGCCGGTGGTGGACTGTGAGAAGGACTGGTGGGATAGGCTGGATTGGGACGGATCCGAGGCCAGCCATGAACCATCACTCTTCAAGACATGCCACTCGGTTTACTACAGGAAGACCCTCCCGAGGGTCTCCGTTCTAAGGTGCGTTCGATGTGGATTTTGTTCTACTTATAGATAATATATTGGGCAAGTGTCATTGATTCACTATAAGATTAGTTGATGTTTTTTATTTCCATTCTTCATGACCTTAGATAATCTGAATCACGCAAAGGGAGGTTGATCGACTTACGTTGACCATACATCAGTCTATTGGTGTCACAATCAAATTGTGATCTCTCACAACTCTCAAGTGTTTCCCATTTCTGTGTGATTTGCAACTAGGTGTGTTTGTCACAAGATCCATCTGCACCGCTGTGCGGGTGCAAGTAAGTCTTGCTGCTACGTGCTTGCACAATGAAGAATAAATGGTGTGCTTTCTACAGCAAGCTATACCTGATGTGGATATGCTTCATTGGATTGGATTGGATTGATTTGGTGTATCACGCAACACTGGGTTGCTCCAGCTTGGTGTGGTGTTCACGATCAAGCTGGCTGGCTTGTGTTGGTTTACTTTACTTGTTTGTAATAGCATGGTTGTTTGTGTCCACCCGTGGGCATGCAACCTAGCGCGCGCACGCATGTGTGATTGATGAACTATAAACTGAGCTTAATTTGTGTCTGGTTGAAAAAACAAGAAATGTTATACTGCGATATGGTAATTTTCGGTTGTGCAAAAGAGTTTGAGTGGGTTATCTTGTGATGTTGCCATCTTAATATAGTACTCTCCCTTCATTTCTAAGTATAAGTATTTTCTAAAGATTTTAATATAGACTACATATAAAGCAAAATGAGTGAATCTACACTTTAAAAATATGTTTATATACATCTGTATGTAACTTTTTTTTGCGAATACGCAAAGGAATTCACTTTGCTTCTACCGACTGATAATACGCACTTGTAAGCCGCCTCCTTCTTGTGATGCGTGTCCCGCGTGGGTCTCACCACTCGCCCTGTCATGTGCCTTTTGCTTCCCACCGCAGAAAGCCCCTCTTCCTCTCTTCCTGTAGTCTCAATCCCATCTCACCAAGGCAGTAAGCAAGCCGCAATTGTGTACACGGAGACGTCGGAGGCGATGCCAGCCGCTCCTGCTGCAAGATCCCGTCACACGATTGCTCCGATGCTGCAGGAGGAGGCTCCGCCGGCGAGCGGTGCTGGCCCCGGGCACTGCTAGGCAGTGGCTCAGCTGCCGCTAGCACGCACGAGCTGCTCCACGGGGCAGGCGAAGACCACTAGTGATGCCCTTGTGTTCCAAGTTCCAACAGCCCGAGGCAACGACGAGCGTGCGGACTCAAGCTGACGCAAACCCAGCGTCACGGCCGCTGCATTGCAGCTCCGGTGATGTCGTGGCCGCTGTAGTGAAGCTCCGACCGCGTCGATGACTGCTACATCGCAGCTCCGGCGACGGCATGGCAGCTACATTAAAGCTTCGACGGTGTCGACGACGGCTGCATCACAGCTCTGGTGATGTTGTGGCCGCTGTATTGAAGATCCGACGACGTCTAGGACCTCTGCATGGCAGCTCCGGTGGCGTTGACTCCGACGACGGCCGCTGCATGCGACGTCATGGCTCCTGCATTGAAGCTCCGACGGCGTCGACGACCGCTGCATCGCACCTCAGGCTGTGTCGACAGCCGCTGCATCGCAGCTCCGGCGATGTCGTGGCTGCAGCAGTGAAGCTTCAACGATGTCGATGACCGCTGCATCGCAGCTCCGGTGATGTCATGGCTGCAGCACTAAACCTCCGACGGCGTCGATCACCGCTGCATTGCAGCTCCGGCGATGTCATGGCTGCAGCAGTGAAGCTCCCACAGCGTCGATGACCACTGCGTCGCAGCTCCGGCGGCTCCGACTCTGACGGCCGCTGCATCGTAGCTCCGGCGACGTCGTTGTTGCTGCATTGAAGCTCTGATGGCCTCGACGACCGCTGCATGGCAGCTCCAGCGGCCTTGATGTTGTGGCCGCTGTATTGAAGCTCCGACGGCTTCGACAACCACTGCATGGCAGGTCTGGCGACCTCGACTCTGACGGCTGCTGCATCGCAGCTTCAGGGACGTCATGGCCCCTACATTGAAGCTCCGACAACATCGACGGCCGCTGCATGGCACCTTCGACAGCGTCGACTCCCATGGCCGCTGCATTGTAGCTCCGGCAGCATCGACGCCGGCTGCATCACAATTTTGACGGCCATTGCATCGCAGCCGCTGCCGCCGAGCTGCTAGGTGTGCTTGGAGCACGAGAGGGAAGATGTGCGTCGACGGAAAGTGTGATCCAAGGGACGCCAAGTGTCAGGACCCCGATTCCAAGTCACATCGATCTAGCCGGTAACACCTTATATCATATTGTGGCCTCACGCACGGTATCCCCACGGGTGTCGCCTTACCATGGCCCGGGACCGTTTCGCCTTTTGGCTCACGTATATGATAGTGTCGCCAGCATTCATATGACAGAGAACCCGGCCCGACATGGCTAGTCGTGAACCCAAAGCAGCACAGACCTATGGAGATAGGCATACGTGAATCACATCGAGCATGTCGGTCATCAACGTGTGAATCCGGGCTGTAACACTTGGCTAACAAGACTTCGGGGAACCCAGGCTGTAGCAGGCTAGGCAGGACTCCGGAAGTCACCGCGTGACATTTCCCCGAAGGGACAGACATAGAAACGAAATGAAACACATGCCGGCCAGTCAAGTGTCCCGAGCAGTAGTGCTGGGCTAGCAAGACTCCGGTGAACCGGGCTGTAGCGGACTACTATGGCTCGAGAAACACTAGACTACATTTCCCCATAAGAAAGGCTGCCAAGAATAAACAACTAGATTGTCGGATCCCACTCATACCAAGCATTTCAATCATACACACAATATGCCCGATATGAGTACATACAACATGGCATCACAACAGAACTCTACAACTCAAGTACTTTATTTAAAAAGGCTCTAAGAAGCCATACATAACATTTTCATACAGGTAGGGGTCACACGACCCGACACTCAAGTCATACAATCATACAAGCACATGCTGAAGCAACTAGTCTGAGTACAGACACTAGAAAGAAAGAAGGCTTCTCGAAGCCTGTCTATCTACATAGGGCCCTCCATGGCCAGGATCACCACCTGGGTGGCTAGTCACTCATTGACATCAAGGTCTACATAGAACCCATCGGAGGGGGCGGTGTTGTCGTCTGAAAATAGTAATTAAGCAAACATGAGTACAAAGGTACTCAGCAAGTCTTACATCAGAACCTACTATACATGCTCATTCTCAAGAAGGTGGTGGAGTTATTGCAGCAAGGCAGCTTTGACTCTTGGCTAAGCTATCCTACGAGACTCCACTAATAAAATAGTTTTCGCACATGAGTCCACTACTCACCAACACAATACCCCACCGGGGATCCTCCCTCGTCATCCTACGAGAGGGCCATCATCGGTACTCACACTTATCTTGAGTCTTTTAGTAGTATCCATTAAATTGTCTATGAACTGTATAGGCAACCAAGTAGTCCTTTACCGCGGACGCGGCTATTCAAATAGATGATGTCAACCCTGCAGGGGTGTACTTCTTCATACACGCTTTCACCACTTACCGCCGTTTACATGACATGTACTCGGCAACCTTTAAGCGGAAGCCCAACGAGGGTGTCGGCCACGGCCTACCTAAACACTCAAGTCTCTAGTCCAGGTTTATCGCCTATCCAGGTTCCATCCGCAGGGAGTCCGGCCGAGGTTTCCACATACGGCCCCGAACGATGTGAACAGGGTCCCGAGACGCCAAACGGGCGCCCGGCATACCCGGCCACGGTGTATCTACCGCAACATAGCCCACCCCTAGGGTCAGCGCTACGCACGGCCGCCAACACATAACCTACAAACACCAGAAACTAATTGCAACTCCTGGACAGAGTACTAGGGTGATTAAGAGGCCGAGAGGGTCCATTGGTTTCGGGCCCAATGTATGGTAGTAACTGAATCTTAAATCACACATACAAATCTAAGTTCTTAGGGACGACCTCAATGAAACAACCCACCATGTACTCCTACATGGCCTCTCATCGATACCTTTACCAAAACATGTTCAACACATCCCTCACATTACCGACATAATCATTTCACTCTAGCCCATCACCCAGATGAACCAGACCTGACACAACTCTAAGCATAGCAGGCATAGCAAGGTAGGAAACACAAACATGGCTCAATCAACTCCTACACATACTAGTGGGTTTCATTTAGTTACTGTGGCAATGACAGGTCATGCAGAGGATAAGGGTTCAACTACCATAGCACACAGCAGTTTGAAACGATGTTGTCTTAATGCAGTAAATGAGAGCAGAGGCGAGAACATGGGATTGTATCGATATGATCAATGAGGCTGCTTGCCTGATGGAGTGATAGTAGGGTACTGCCCTTCAGTTGGATACTCGGAGATATCCTCGGAGGCAGAACCTACCACGAAGGACACACCGAAAATAATCAACACATGACAATATGCAACAATATGATGCATGCTATGACATGGCAAAATGATGTGTCCTGCCTAATGCAATGTGAAACAAGTTGAAATGGGTCCATTTGAACCAAAGATTCAAATGGAAGTTAAAATTCTTATGCATAAAAAGTGTATTAGCTTGTTTCACCTAAACAGCAAGGTTAAAGTGGTTTGTCATGCATGAAACCATTACGGATGGATATATTGAATTTTTTTGATCATTTTTCATATATAATTTGTTTGATTTGGAGCTATGGTTGATTTTCTATGATTTTTAAAAGTTTTGGCTATTTTCTGAAATTTCCTATTAAAGAATAAATCCAAAAAAGGATTTACTGCGTCACCTGGTGTTAGTGTGACGTCAGCGGTCAACTGAGATGGTCCAGGTCAACCCTGACCTGTGGGTCCCGTCTGTCAGTGTCAACTAACTAACTAAGTTTAGTTTGTGTTAAACTAATACTAACCTAGTTTAATTAGTGGCCTGGGGCCCACACGTCAGTGAGTTAGGGGAAAGTCAAACTAGGGTCAACCCGGGTCAAACTCATCGGAGTTGACCCGGGGCTCGTCGCCGGCAAGGCCAGGGACGGCGGAGGGGGTGCGGTTTTCTTCCTCCGGCGACCAAATGGCCGGCAGAGGGCATCTACATGACGCGGGCACTCGTCCGCGTCGAGTGGTGTAGGTGGTTGGGCCTGGGGTGGCCGGAGTCGTCGCCGGCGTCGACCTTGGCGGTCGCCGGGGCTCGGGTGAGGTAGGGGTCGTCGTTGTGACGGTCGTGGTGGCTCATGCGGGGCACGTATGTGCTCTACGCGGCGCAAGGAGGAATCTGGGCACGACGGCCGGACCATTAGATGGCCGGAGACTCATCGGCGGCGAGCACAGGCAGCGGTGCGTGCGGGCGAACTCGAGGCGGCGCGTACGGTGCATGAGAGCTAGAATGGAGAGGGGGA